AGTTTTCTATAGCAGTTTGTATGTAGGATAGAAACTTCTAATTTGTTTTTAAATTAGACTAAATTATTTAAGCCACCCCAAAATTGGACATTTTGAAAATAAATGTACATTTAACTATAGATTTTCTTTTTTTAAATAAGAAAAAAATCTTGGTAACCTAAGCATTTTTTTTCTTTTCCCCTCTCTTAGTTCTACAATCATTTATGCCCGCCTATCAACCTAAATCAAAATAAAATACATTGAACTGTGCGACTATAAGGTCAGAAAATGGGGGAAAAGTTTAAGCAACATTTAGAGCCTGCATGAGGATCAGGTTACTGCAGCAGGGTTCATTTCTCTTGATTTAGCAGGGTTGTTTTTTCTACCTGGTGAGCAGGGGGATGCAGTGGTCTGCAGCGACACGTCCCAACATGCCAATACTGGACAGCTGGTCAGAGAACAGCTCCCTGTCGTCCTCCTGCAGCTCATTGATCTCCTCCTCCTCGTGTGACGCTATGCCGTTCACAGACTGCTCCATCGGGAACATTTAAAACAAGAGATCAGGAGCGGTAAAGAAAACCAGATCAACGGCGTTGTATTTAAAGAGTCTCACCAGATTCCGCGTGCCATCGGGGGCGGCCAGATGACACTGAATGTACGAGTTGAAAACCTGGATGGCCGGCTGTACAAAGCAGCCGCGGGGGAAGTGTTCCTCGTCCTGGACGAGCGTTAGCCAGGACTCCAGCAGCTTATCGTAGGCCTCCATGTAAACCATGTCGTCTTTATCCAGCTGACGGGACGAGGAAATGAAAGAGATTAATCAAGCAGCAACCAGGTTTTCATTTAAAGTTAGGATTTCTGCTTAGTTTTTATTGTTTAAATGATAAAATATTTCATCTTATAATAAAAAGAAGAAATTCAGATTTTGCTGTGGAAAAGGGATCTTTAAAGAAAGCATTTTAAAATCATTAAAAGCCAAAAACTGAGTGGAAAAGATTTTCCACCATCAATGAAAATCCTGTCATTCAAGATTTAACCCATTCATTACCAACATTATCACTCCATGGGCCCCAAACGGCCCCCGGGACGCTTTTAGATTTATGAGGTTTAAATATAGCTGACCTGCTAGAAGATTGTGGAACAGGTGACCCAGGGCTCTCATTTAATCAGCGCTCGCTTGAATTTAACCTACTCCGTTTTACTAAGATTGGTCTAATTATGCAACACAAGATGAGGAGGGACTCACCACCTCCTCCAGGGCGGCGCTGCGTCCAAACGAGCAGGTGAGCAGCGTGAGGCAGTTGATGAAGGAGGTGAAGAGCTCGCTGGGCAGAGCGGTTAAAATACTGCGGGGGAACATGGTGATCAGATTGGAGATGATGTTGGAGATGCCCACCGCTTCAGAGTCCTCAATCTCAATCCTGACAGCACAGAGAAGATACAGACCGTTCACTATCTGAACCAACCAAAAAACAAGACATGGATATTTAATATCAGATGGCTGCTTTAACAAGCAGCCATCTGCTAGCAGGATTTTATTTACATGCAAAGAACTGCCCTTTCTTTTTATAAAAGAAAATAGTAGAGGAAAAAAAAGCATCTTTATTTGGTTTATAGTTCAAATTCTCTTTTGGTCTGAGGAAGGTCAGAATCCAGACCAAAGTTTTCCCACTTTACCCACTTGTGACAATGAAAACTATATAAAAAAAAATAATAATAAAAAATAACGTAAAATAATAATCAGTCTCTTACTAAAACTCAACCCTCCTGAGTTTTTCCATAGCTTAATGTTAAGCTGGCCTGAAACAGGGAGGCATAACTCTTTAGCAAACGGACTCTGGAAGTATCACAGAACTTCCACATTTTAACCTGCATCACTTTATTGTCCTTTTGAAAACTAAACATCCTTTTTCATCCACTTTACAGGTATGCAGTGCTTTGTGTAGGTGTCAAATACCAATAACAACCATTAGTTTAAGGTAATGATTCCACAACTCTACCAATTTTGCTTCTGAGATGTTTTCATTGCTTCTTTCTGGGTAAACTGGCTTCCTCCCACAGTCCAAAAATCATGACTGCTAGATTAACTGGCTTCTCTACATTGTCCTTAGGTGTGTGTGTGTGTGTGTGTGTGTGTGTGTGTGCGTGTGTTTGTGTGTGTGCGTGTGTGCATGGTTGTGTTTCTCTGTGTGTCTCTGTGACAGACTGGCAACTTGTCCAGGGTGCCCGCCTCTCGCCCGTAGACTGCCGGAGATAGGCACCGGCCCCACCTCGTCCCTGACAAGGACTAAGTGGGAGAAAATGGATGGATAGATGGAAGTTTTCATCTCTGACCTTTTCAACAGTTGAACAAAGAACAGTCTATAAATGCTGGTGAAGATTCACAGTCATCCAGGTCATAGTCATTCCAAAAAGTAAAAAAAACAAACAATGAACTTTGTTTCCAAGTTTGAAGACTTTTCGCTTCCAATCCAGGAAGCAAAACGCTTTTTGAATTGAAAAAGCTTCCTGGATGAGAAGCGAAACGTCTTCAAACTTGGAAACAAAGTCCAGTGGATTATTTTTTATTTTTATTTTTTTTTAAAGTCTAGAAAACACACAAAAAAGGGTACAAACTAATATTGCATTAAAATAAAGTATAATCCATTTTAAAGTGTTTTTATTTCATGTGTAACAGTTTGTTTTACAATAGACAATTTGATATTACTAATATGAATAGATACATAAAAAGATTTGAAATTGGTAATTTATTCATTTAATTCTACCAGGCTCCACTTGTAACTGCACTAAGCCACCCTTAGGGGGCGCCCCCCAGTTAGGGAACCATTAAGTTTTGGGACTCCAACAAGAGCCAACGTGATTTCTGATAGATACAGATTTCTGAATTAAGGACATGATGAACATATTGTAGAAACTTCATATTAATAGAGAATTTCCCGAACCCCCAAAATTAAGAGATGTAAAATATGACACGGTTCCAAATTTGGACAAAGTCAAATTGCAACATTATGTGGCTTTCCATACACTTTATGAATTTCTAATGTTATTTGGACTGGGATGACATACCATCTAAAAGGTCCATTACCATTTTAAGACGGGATTTTTTTTTTTTTTTTACAGAAATTTTCTAAATTGTGGGACAATATAGTCTGATAAAGAGTACATTTATATACATGTTTAAGCCAGAATGATTTGACATTTAAATATGATTTCCCTATGACTTTAATAATATCCACCTTATTTTAGGAAATTCTCGCCAATTTTGCGAACCCAAATGGAAAAGCAAATAACTTAGAAACCGTAAGCCCAAATAACATGTGTGATACATTATTTGAAAGCTAACACCTTCAAGTTTCTGAATATATATGAAAATTGGGTGAGTAAAACCGATCCCAAGCTGCAACAGTTCAGACATGACCCAAATTTGTTTGCTTTATTTTGAAAATAATAGGTATTTTTTGAACAGCTGTAATAAAGACATGCTTGCTTGTTGTGGTTGCTTTGTCATGTTTATATTTTAATATGCTGCTATATCTGTGTTTATTTTACTTTGGTGCTCGCCGTGACCATAAAATGAGTTTGGTGGTTGAATTGTGGAGAACCTAAGCTTTCCAATGATGTCTAACATGTCTATATTGGTAAATATTTTACCGGTGTAATTTTCATGCATTCTGAGTTATTAGTTGTAAACGCTTTAAAACGGTGGATTTTGAGAGGTTAAAGCACTAAATGTGCTGAACAAATGCAGTAAGACTAGTCATTAACATTTACATGTTCCATCAAAGGATAGACGAACACTTTATATTCAGCTTCTATTGAATAAATTGGGGATCGAGTGAAATGTATGAAATAAACACACATAAATCTTTAAAAACACATGATTAAATTGAACTCGGTAGATCTCATCCATTTTTACTTTGACTAACGTATTTTAGGGATTAGTTCACATTTGTCTTTACGTTTCTTCACTTCATTGTATTCAGAATAATATACGAGCTG